CCACTCTACCGGTCTGCATCAAAACACAGCCCAGCCCCTTTCCAGAAGCATCACAGTAAAGCTCAAACTGCTCATCAGGATCAGGAATGATCAACACAGGTGCGGTAGTCACTCTCTCCTTCAACTCCTGAAAGCATTCCTCACACTCGTGAGTCCACACAAACAGAGTCTCCTTCCGGTTAAGGAGGGTCAATGGTAGAACCATCATGGAGAATCCCTTGATGAACCTCCGGTAGTTACTTGCCAATCCCAAGAAACTTTTCACCTCAGTTACCGTGTTGGGCCTCTCCCAGTCAAGTACAACTTCAATCTTGTTGGGATCCACTGCAACTCCCTCAGCACAAATTACATGCCCAAGAAACTTCACAGACTTGAGCTAAAACTCACACTTTGAAGGCTTAGCATAAAGCTTTTTCTCCTTCAACACTTGCAGCACGATTTGCAAATGCTCTGCATGCTCCTCCTCAGTCTTGGAGTAAATCAAGATATCGTCAATGAAGACGATCACAAACTTATCCAGGTACGACTGGAAAATCCTGTTCATGTAATCCATGAACACAACAGGTGCATCAGTGAGTCTAAACGGAATCACCAAATACTCAAAGTGACAGTATCTCAAATGAAACGCGGTCTTAGGGACATCTTCCGGCTTCACCCCAATCTGATGGTATCCGGACCGGAGATCAATCTTCGAATACACACAAGCACCCCGAAGCTGATCCAACAGATCATCAATACGCGCGAGGGGATACTTGTTCTTGATTGTCGATGCACAATCGCATGGCCCCATCTTTCTTCTTAACAAAGAAGACTAGTTCTCCCCACGGAGACACACTCGGTCGAATGAAATCTTTCGCTGAAAGATCCTCAATGTGCTTCTTCAGCTCCGCCAACTCCAGTGGCGACATCCTACATGGAGCTAATAAAATAGGCCCCACACAGGCAACAAGTCAATGGAGAACTCTATCTCCCGCTGTGGCGGAAACTCATGAATCTCCTAAGGAAACACCTCAAGGAATTCCCCCACCACAGGAATGCCAGTGATATCCTCCTGTGTCCAACTCACCAAACCTCTCAACATGACATAACCGAATGCCCCTGCTCTTAAGGCTCTCCTAGCCTGCAACAATGAAATATAAGGCGAGGAACTAGCTGTGGAATCACACGGGGACATCACCACACGCTTGGCACAACAGTCAATCATAACACAGTTCTTGGATAACCAATCCATGCCAAGGATGATATCCAAATTAGCCATCGACAGTCCTATCAGATCTACCGAGAAGTCACGACCATCCCACTGAAACACGACATCTCGATGCACAATGGAGGTATCTCACTTTTCTCCAGTGGCAGTGGTCACCCGCAACGGTGGAGAAAGCACAGCACTGGGCAATTCAAGCTCAACAGCAATCGGGGTTGCAATAAAAGAATGCGTAGCCCCGGAATCAAACAAAGCAGCAACAAAAATTCCACCAATGGAAACAGTACCTCTAACCAGATTCGGAGCTTGGTCCGACTGCTGACGGTGTAACATATACACACGTCCAGAAGCAGGTGGCACTGCAGGTGCCGAAGTAGGTGGAAGGGGAATCATCTGCAATGGAACTGCCTGAACTGCAACAGCTCTCGCCGTCGATGACGGGAAATCTCTAGAGTAGTGGCCCTCCTTGCCACAGTGAAAACAAATCAGCTTCCCCGTAGCACAACATCCTGCATGCTCCTTTCCGCACCCCGAACACCTAGGAGTGGAAGGAGGCCTAGAAAATCCTCCCTGCTGTGAAGAAGTCCTCTTGAACTGGCCAGGCGCCTGCCAAGCCGCAAACGGCTTCCCTTTGCCCTTTCCAGTAAACTTCTTGTCTCTCCAGGAAGTGGAACTACTCGTTCCTTTTGTCTCGGCAATCTTGGCCCTCTTGGCCTTACTCGTCAGACAGACATCCTCGATGTCACTGCTGTACCAGTGTCCCAAAGTCTCTCGAAGCGGCTCCAGCAAGAGGCACCGCTATCTCCTCACTAAGTCCCCTACGGAACTTTGCAGCCAAAAAGGTCGGAGTGGGCATCGCCATCCGAAAGTGTGCAAACTTCACCAGCTCATTAAACTTGGCCAGGTACTCGTCAACAGACAACTAGCCTTGTACCAACCTGTCGAACTCCCCATGCTTCCTCTCCTGCACATCATACAGGAAGTATCGACCCAGAAAGCAATCCTCAAAGAATGGCCATGTCATAACACGACCCTGCATCTCAAAAGCGTGAGAGGTGTTCATCCACCACTCATGGGCATCGCCTTCCAGCATGTATGTGGCGAACATCAGCTTCTGCGGATCTGTACACTGCATGACCCAGAAAATCTTGTCCAACGCCTGTAGGCATCTCGCCGCAGCAATAGGGTCATACGACCCATCAAAGGAAGGTGGATTATGCTTGCGGAAAGCATTAAGCCGGCAGTCTAACACATCGCGATCCTCAACAGGCTCCACATAGGGCTCCATCACCCCAGTAACATGACCAGTGCCCTCAACATGGCTCTGGCTGTCGTCCTGCAGACTAGGTGGAGGTGGAGGTGGTGGCGGAGGGAACTGACCAACAGCAGGACCAACCCTCATCTCCTCCAACATGACCCTCATCATGGTCATGTTCGCCAGGCGGTTCGCCTCCAAAACATCCTCAGTGGCTTTCCTGTTCGCCTCTCTGACGGCGTCCAGCATAGCCTGGTTTGCCATTCTCATGGCCTCCTGGTCGGCTAGTCGAGCTGCCTACATATTTGCCAATGCAGCCAGGACAGAATCTGGCTGATCCACAGTGGTCTTGCGGTTCCTCCTAGGCAGTACCATGACTCTGCACAAGTTACACAAAGAATGAGTTGATCAGGCCCACACAATGTGGTCACATATGCATTATCATAGCAAAGTCCAACCGAGAGAACACACAAGACAGACTCGCAACAAAACATTCTAGTTATTGCAATACATACAGGCTTTTTCCTAGAAAGTGCTCTGATACCATAAAATGTAACACCTCGTGTTAACCCGGTTTGTTAACATGTCATCGTATTAAGACACGCTTAATTAAAATATGCGGAATAACTTTTTACTTTTCAATTATGACGTCATTAACTTAGCCAAGTTAATTACTTAATCAATCTCATAAAAACATCGCCTGTATGTAAATTGCAAAAGACAGCTAACTGAAAAATACCTCATGAATAAATAAGTGAGTATTTAAGTCACGGATCTACAACACGTAGTCCGGACATAATCCTGATACAATTATACAACTCGAATCAACTAAAAACATAAAGTCAAGTCAATGTGGCATGGACAATCCCCATGCTCACCAAATAGCAACATAATCAACAGAGTCTCGACTCAAAATCCATAACACGAAACTAATAGCATAACAGCAACAAATATCATCCAGCATCCAAACATAAATAGCATAGGCAGAAATATCAGCTAAAGTCCGACCTCCTGCCGCTAGAGGTCTTAACCCCTGGATTACCTGAACTTGAAATAAGCGCCCCAAACGTGGGGTGAGATCTCTAAACAGAAATCTCAGTAAGGCAAGGGATCCTCAAGGATCTTCCACCCCAAGCTCACTTACATGTGCAATATAAGTTCCAAAAATAGTTAAACAATATAAGTTCCAAAATAGTGCAATGCAGCAGATAATCATGTCATGTACGTCAATACTAATCTACTGGCCAGAGAAATGCAGGAATACGTCTATTACCCACACTAATGCAAGACGCCACTTGCACCCACCCACAGTGTCACCGTCTTGTATGACGCCACATACTCAGGCTATCCGTCAAAGTGAAACAACACATACATATTATAAGCAATTGCACATAAAGCTCAACAGCATTTTCAATTATCAAAGCATGTAAACACATCATGCATATAAACCATTTCCTCATGGGGTATGGTGGAACCACGCAATGGCTAAACCGAGGACACAAAAGCTTACCTGTACCCGTATGCCCCTTTGACTCGAACTCGGTATCACAAGGGTCCACACCACAAATAGAATCCAATGCACTCACAGATCTGCCTCAATGACCATCATAGTATCAATATACATATTTTAAAATTCCAAGACAATTGGATATTATTATCTTTTTCATTTCGAACCTAGAGATCCTTTCTGGGACATAACATTTAACTTATTCCATTACGAGTAGCTTTCGTTTAGATTACCAGGGAGCATGCTTTCATTATATATATATATATATATATAACAAGTTGGACCAAAATTCATTCATAGATAAGGCTTTATATCCACCGATGGACCAAAATTCATTCATAGATAAGGCTTTATATCCACCGACTACCACAGTGACCGATTTGCTACATAAAGATTCAAACTTTTCAATTTAAAATCACACAACTCGATGCAAATGGCCGTGTAAGTTCACAAAACAAGAGATACAAAGTGACAAAACAAATGGCTTTGTACAGAAGAAATGGTTTTGATCCTTTTTTATTTATTTATATTGTCACTTAAATTAAACTAGCAGTATTAGTTTAATTAGTTCCGCTCTTCGTTTAGCTCCAAATATTTAGATTCTTAACCTAGATATTTTTCTAGAAATTTTCATATTTTTATTTTATTTTTTTGCAATACTTTTTCGGTATGCATTTTTCTCGCTGTCGGTATTAGTTCTGACATCAGTTCTCATTATTTTGACTCCAAACTTGACGTACTAGTCCTAAATATTAATCTAGGAATATTCTCATACTCATTATAATTTTCTGGGATACTTCATCGGTACGTATCTATACCGTGAGACAGAACCGATATCTGCGCTTTTGGTCAGAAAAGCGACTTTCAGCATTCTTAATCACTTACAATAATTATTTAAGCCTTCTCATAATTATTAGGGTCAATTATGGAATTATCTCATTAATCTCATAATTAATTAATTAAATTCCTAATTAACGGTGCGGGTTCTTACAACATTGGTCACCTGCTAATCCGATTCAAGGAAGAAAAAAAGTATGTTCCAAAATGGACCTTGGGTAGTCACTCAACATTACCTAGTAGTTCAACGATGGAGACCCCTTTTTGATCCATATAAGGAAGAGGTGAGGAAGCTAGCCATCTGGTTGAGGATTCCGAGTCTTCCCATAGAGCTATATTCTACACAACACCTATGGAAAATCGGAAACCTCTTTGGAAGGATGCTGAAAATCGACAGAAGCTCTCTGAGAAAAAATGAGATAGGGGAAGGGGAGATAACGGAGAAGGTGCGTTTCGCGCGTATATGTGTGGAAGTAGATATGAGAATGAGCTTCCTCTCCAAGTTCAACATAAGAGGAAATTTTTTCCAAATAGGGTATGAGGGCTTACACTTGATCTGCTTCGATTGTGGTATGTATGGCCATCGTAAAGACCAATGTATGCACTCTACTGCTAAAGCGCAGCAACCGAAGGACAAGCCAAAAACTGGTCCAAGCCAAAATCCCAGCCATACCCAGCATGCCCACAACGTGGACGAGGAGCCTATTGCTTTTGGGGAGTGGAGGGTGATTAAGAAAAATACCAAATCCAGACGTCTGAAAGCTGTTCCCGAATCCTTGTCCGTCGAGGAAGACAAACCAGCTCCGGCAACGGTGGTGAGGAGAAACTCCATCCATCGAAGCAAGGACCCTCATACTAGGAAACAGGAGGTGGGAATCAGAGTATCACAGGGCACAGGTAATGCCAATTTGGTGCAACATGTGGTAAAGCATCAACCTGACAAGCCTATAGCTCAGCTGGAGGCTGCAACTTTGTCTCTTTTTATTTCTCCAAAAGAGAAAAAAGTAGAAAGCACTACTTCAGGTCAGATCATCAGAATCCCTCTACGAGCAACAACATCAAAAGCAAAGAAACCTTGGGAGGTGTAGGTCCTAAGGTCAAACACAAGCAACCTAGGAGGGCGCCAAAGCCGTATGCTTCACCTCAGGTGTCAGGCTCAAGACGCAGCAGTACTACAGACAAAAAACCCTTTGTAGGGGGATCTGTTTTGCCTCCAACCGTAACAGCTGCAGAGGATACGAGGATGCTACTTGACCCAACAGAAAAGGCTGCCATGATTGAAAAGGAAAAAGATATCCTTAATATAATGAAGTTAATGTCATTTGAGCAAGATAGCCAACTTCTGAATAGAACCCTAGAGGTGATGGGGTCCACTTCTCAAATCAGTTAATGGTTATGTGGATTTTTCGAAATCCATTTTGTCTTCTTTCGTATTTATTGTTTTTAATGAATTTCTGCATTTGGAATAGTAGAGGTGTTAATAAAAAAGGTTTTGCTAGCCTAATTCTTGATCTTAAGTATAGGTTCAGGATTAAGGTACTGGTCCTCCTTGAAACTAAAATCAGTGGGGCTAAGGCTGATATTAGAATCAAGCAACTTGGTTTTAATAACCATTAGCGGCAAGAGGCAGTTGGGTTTTCTGGGGGCATTTGGGTTCTTTGGGATGAGGTTGACACCTCCATCCAAATCCTTCACTCTCAGCACCAACTGGTGCATGTTAAAGTCAGATACAAGGCTTCCACAATGGAAGAGATGGCCACATTCATTTATGCGAGCCCCAGCAGATTGGATAGGAAAAAGCTAAGGGATGATCTCTGCAACATTGCTTCCACTATTTCTTTTGAATCCTGGATGATCCTTGGTGACTTCAATGCCATGCTGCTACCGAGTGAGAAGAAATGAGGTGGAGACTTTTGCTGGAACAGTGCCGAAGACTTCAAGCAATGTTTAGACTCCTACTATATCAATGATTTGGGGTTTAAAGGACCCGAGTTCACTTGGAAGACGAATAACCTACCGGAGAGACTTGATAGAGTTTGTGTGAATGAGAGGTGGAACATTACCTGGCCTGATAAGGAAGCTGTTGATCTTCCATACTACTCTTCTGACCATCGCCCTATAATCCTTGGGAACCCCAGCACCACAAACCAGGATGGCAGCAAATCGTTCAGGTTCTTGGCCTCGTGGTTAACTGATGATAGCTTTGACGGCGTTGTGGCTAGGTACTGGAACCAATCCACGATCTGGGTCGAAGCCAGAGATTGTTTTCAACAAGTTGTGGTTGATTGGCACACTCATTCTTTCAAGGCCAAACAACGTCAAAAAAATCGTCTACATGCGAGGATCAAGGGTATCGAGGACCGCTTGGACCATACTTACAACCACAATCTTGAATTATTGTTAAAATCTCTTTGGCACGACCTAGAGAGAATTCTGATTCAAGAATAGATTGATTGGTTCCAGAGATCACGGTGTGAATGGATAAAATTTGGGGACCGTAATACCAAATATTATCATGCCAACACCATAACAAATAGAAGAAGGAATAAAATCACTACCATCAAGAATGATGATGGGACTTGGCTCTCTAATCCTCAAGCCATCATTGATTATACAATGGATTATTTCTCTAAGCTGTACTCATCCGAGGATAGTGACCTTGATGAGTTTCCCATCAGAGGAGCCTTCAATAAGCCTAACATGGAAGAACGTTTTCTCCTAAGTTATGCTCATACCCACGATGAAATTAAAAAGACAATTTTCTCTACGGGGTCTTCTACCAGTCCCAATGGCACCATATTGGCCAGTCTATCTGCTCTCTCATCACCGATATTAGCTAGCCTTCAGGCGGTCTTCTGCCAGTCCTAATGGCACCATATTAGCAAGTCTATCTGCTCTCTCATGACCGATATCTTCTCTGATCCAGATAAAGTGAAGGAGATCAACCAAACCCTTATTGTGTTGATCCCGAAAGTAGACAACCCGGAGAACCTTAACCAGATGCGGCCCATCAGTCTTTGTAATGTGTCCTACAAGATCATCACGAAACTGATTGCCAGTCGTCTCAAGCAGCACATGCAGAATGGATCTCCCCCAACCAGTGCAGCTTCGTTGCAGGCAGAAATGGTAATGACAATGTCATTATAGCCCAGGAAGTCATCCACTCAATGAAGACGAAGAGAGGGACGAAGGGTTGGATGACACTGAAGCTTGACCTAGCCAAGGCCTACGACATATTGGAGTGGAGCCTCATCCATGACACCTTGATGGAAATAGGGATTCCTGATAACTTGATTTTCCTGATAGATAAACGTGTCAACTCGTCCTCTATGAATCTACTCTGGAACGGTCAGAGAACCAAGGAGTTCAAATCTTATAGAGGGCTGCGTCAAGGGGATCCCATGTCCCCTTATCTTTTTGTCTTGTGTGTTGAAAGGTTGGCCCATTTGATCCAGGTTGCCACTCATGCCAAAGCATGGAAACCTATTGTGTTGAAGGATAGCCCCCCTCTCACACATCTCTTCTTCGCTGATGATATAGTTCTGTTCGCTGAAGCCTCTATCAAGCAAGCCCAGATCATTAACCAAGTTCTTAGAGTTTTCTGTGATGCATCTGGTCAAAACATCAGCATAGACAAATTTAGGGTCTTCTTCTCAAAGAACACCTGTTTCGCTAAAGCCAAGGAAATTAGTGATTGTCTCAATATCAACCTGACTTGTGACCTATGAAAATACCTAGGGATTTCCCTCCATCATAAAACAGTGATTGTCTCAATATCAACCTGACTTGTGACCTAAGAAAATACCTAGGGATTTCCCTCCATCATAAAACAGTGATTGTCTCAATATCAACCTGACTTGTGACCTAGGAAAATACCTAGGGATTTCCCTCCATCATAAAACAATGTCTCATACCTCCCTATCCCATATCATGGATCGCGTTCAAGGTAGGCTGGATAGTTGGACCCATCGTTCCCTAACGTTAGCTGGCTGCATCACACTAGCTAAGTCTATTGTGGCAGCCTTTCCTTCCTATACCATGCAGTCAGTTTCTCTACCTATCAACGTGTGTGAGGAGCTGGACAGATGCACCAGGAACTTTATTTGGGGTTCCACAGAAGTCTAAAGGAAGCCCCACCTTGTTAGTTGGAATACTCTTTGCTCTCCCAAGGAGTACGGTGGCATGGGCCTTCGTTAATCGAGAACTATGAACAATGCCTTGATCATGAAAGTTGGCTTTGGGATTTTGGCTAAATGTGATGCCCTTTGGGTGAAGGTTATTCGCAACAAATATGGCCTTGGAGATGACCTGATCCCCAACCCTTCCAGGACTGCCGTGAAATCCAACCTGTGGAAGGTGTGCTTAACTAGTGGACCCAAATCACTGATGGATCTACGATATTAACAGGTGATGGGAGAAGAACTAAATTCTGGCTGGATAGATGGGTTCCTCAGGTTAAAAATTTATTGGCGGTTGCCACTGGAATCATAAACGAGGATCACCTAAACTACGGGGTCGATAGGTTTGTGGATGCTCAGGGACGTTGGAGATGGAACCTATTCCAACACCTTCTTCCTAGTCAGATCCTCAACTTTATCGTTGGGATTACACCCCCAATAGCGAGTGAGGGAGAGGATAGAGTGATTTGGAGGGACTCCAACGATGGCAAATTCTCTGTCAAATTGGCATACCTCAGCTTATCTCCCATTCCTCTACCATCCTTTAAACCCTGGAACCTAGCTTGGAATTTGTAAGAACCCGCACCGTTAATTAAGGTATTTAATTAATTAATTATGCAAAATTAGGAAATGATTCCATAATTGACCCTAATAATTATTAAGAGGCTTTAATAATTACGATAAGTGATTAAGAATGCTGAAAGTCGCTTTTCGGAAGAAAAGTGCAGATACCGGTTCTGCTAGTCGGTATAAATGCGTACCGAAAAAGTATCCCGGAAAATTATAATAAGTGCATGATAATTACTAGAATAATATTTAGGACTTGTAAAACGAGTTTCAAATCCAAATGATGAGAACTGGTGCTAGAAACCGGTACTGGCTTTGAAAAGCGCGTACCGGAAAGGTGCTCAGAAAATTATAAGAAAAATATGATAAATCTTAGAAAATTATGTAGTTTCTTAATCCAAAGTTTGGGATTAAAATTATAAGCGTAGCTATTTATGCTAATACTGCGCGTTAAATGCTTAAGTGGCTATATATACACTCATTAAGTGGGCACAAAACCCTAGAACCTCATTCCTACGTGAACACCTTTGGGGGCTGATCAGTTTACACTATTCCATTGCTGACTTGGTGCTTCTTTGGCTTGTCTTCGCCATTTCTTCATGAGAAACCACCAAATGATCATCTTTTCTCTTGATTCTTCCTTGTAAACACCTTGTGGTTGTGTTGGGGTTGTGTGAGAGGCTTGGTTTCTGAGTTGGTGGGTTATTTTGGGGTGCTTTTGGTGCTGACTTTGGAGGTTGGGGTTGTTGAGCCATTGTAGTGGCATTTTGAGCTCCAAGGAGCTTCCTTTGTGAAGAAAGGGCCAAGCTTTGTTGGCATTTTTGTTGTGTTCAAGTCAGAATCTTTGAGCCTTGTTGGAGAGCTCCAAGAGCCTTCCTTGTGGCTGAGTTTGAACCTCCATTGGTATACCTTGAACTTTCCTTTGAATTTTCATGAAAATGGTTGGTTTATGTTATAAAATGACTTAACTTTAATCATTCAAGCTTAAGGTTGTTAATCTAAGTCTAAAATGTGGTATTGAACTTCTGTTTTGGGTCAAGACCGGACCTTGGGTCATGGGGTGGCAATTTGGCTTCGGATTATGCAGAAAAAACCTGCATAATGTTGTTCTGCCCGCGTGGTAATCGATTACTTTTGATTGGTAATCGGTTACCATGTGTGGTAATCGATTACCTTGCTGGTGGTAATCGATTACCATGTGCAGTAATCGATTACCACCTGTGAAAATGACCAGAAACCTGTTTTGTGCAATTGTGTCAGCAACGACCTAGTTTAGTAAAATTGAGATATCTCGAGCTACAGAGCTCTAAATTGAGTGAGGTTTGGACCTATGTGAAGCTAACACATAGGGCTACAACTCTGTAAAATTTAGTAGCCATTGGATCAGTGATTTGATCGCAGTGTCTATTTTAAGTCGCGTTTTGGTTGCTGGAAATTCCGTTTGCAGCAGTCACCTTGCGTAAATCATAACCGGAGTTATACAACTCCGATTGAGACATAAAGTATATCGTTGGAAATCTCAAGATGTCTAGTTTAACATTGTAAATATTAGAATGTGAATATTGATATAATTGTTGGTCTAAAACAGATTGTGATTCTGCTGTGTTTGGACTTTGAGCTTGTGTGGACTCTTGGCTTGGATAGCTAGCTTAGAGGTAAGCTTTCGTGTCCTCGGTTTAGACATGTTGTGGTTCCACCATGTCCCACGGGGATATGGTATGTGCATGCTGTGTTACATGCTTTTGATGTTTTGGAAATGTTGTTGAGCTATTATATGTTAGTGCCTTGTTGATATGCATGGAGGTGTTCCACCTATACGGTAAGCCTGAGTATGGAGAACATACAAGAGGGTGAGGCTGTGGGTGAGGTGCAAGCGGTGTTCCTTGTACTACATGTAGGGAATAGACGTATTCCTACATTTCTCTGGCCAGTAGATAGTGATTACACACATGCCATAGATATCTGTTGCACTACATAGTTTTGGAACTGATAATGATATAAATGCTTTTTGAACTTATATTGCACATGTAAGTGAGCTTGGGGTGGAAGATCCTTGAGGACCCCTTGTCTTAATGAGATTTCTAGTTTAGAGATCTCACCCCACGTTTGGGGAATGCTTATTTCAGGGTCAGGTAATGTTGAGACCTCAGGCGGCAGGAGGCCGAAGCTGAGTTAGATTGCTGTTGTATTATGCTGCCATGATTGGATGCTGGATTTGCATGTTGCTTATGCTTATAGCTTCAGTTATGTTTGTGGAGTTTTATGATGAGACTGGTTGTGTACTATGTTTATTTGGTGAGCATGGGGATTGTCCATGACACCTAGTATTGTTATATCTTGATTATGTCTTGAGTCTTTTGGAGTTGTAATAATGTATCAGGATATTGTCCGGATTACTTGATGTAATGCCGTGATTTAGATACACACTTTATCTATATATTGAGGTATTTCAGTAGGTGTCTTATTGCAATTTACATACAGGCGATATTTTATGAAATTGATTAAGTAATCAAGCTGGTAATTGATAATGACGTCATAATTGAAAAGAAAAAGAATATTCCGCATTTTTAATTAAGCACCGCTTAATACGATGTAATGTTAATATTCCGGGTATACACGGGGTGTTACAGAATTGGTTTGGTCCTCATAAAATCCAATTGTTCCTCTGGCTCCTTTTCCATGATAAACTCCTTACAAATGACCATAGGGCTCGCAGAAGAATGTGTGATTCCTCTTCGTGCATGAGATGTGGTCACCCCCTGGAAGATAGGCTACATATTCTGAGGGAATGTGTTTGGGCCAAAAAAATGTGGAAGAAAATTTTTCCCATTGATCTCCAACCTAGTTTCTTTAGCCTTCCTTTCGATGCCTGGCTGGAGAAACATCTGAACAAGAATAACAGCTTCTCTGCTTGGGATAACAACAAATTATGGTTCAGTACCACTTGTTGGTGCATTTGGAAGGATCGTAATAACTTCATTTTCAATGGGATAGCCCCTAACCCCCTCAACACCGTTTTCCTCACAAAATCCTTGGTTGACAATATACTCATAGCAGATACTCTGCTAGCTACAGTGAAAATCTCCCACACAACCAAAAAGGAAATCTTCATTTCTTGGAAGTTTCCCCAGCCTGGTTGGACTAAAGTTAACACAGATGGTAGTTGCTCCTGTAGGGGTGAGAGGACAGCTTGCGAAGAACACTGGCTATGGTAACACTTGAAAGAAAAGGGTATTTGAAACATTATTGAATTGTAAATAATCTGTACAAAGGGTTCTCTATTTATAGAGAATACTTGACCTAATTTTGACCTAATGGGTTTGGCCCAATACAAAAAATAAATGACTAAATAATAACTAAATAATTATTATTTACAACACTCCCTCTCAAGCTGAGGAATAG